TAAGTAAACATTAGAATGGTTATTTAAATTTAATTTTGTTTGTTTATATCGTTGCGCATATTGTTACCATGTTCTTATTTAAGTAAAATTTATTCAAACTATAATGTATATTATTTTAATTAATTTTTTTTTTTWATTCTTTCAACATTAGAAATCTTAAACTGATTTTTGGRAGACATTTTAAATCGGAAATAATTKATTTTATCGATATCTTAAATAACTCGGTAAATATATAATAATATCYTTCTCATTTTYTCTCTTTCTATAATAACGCCTCAAATCAGCTGAAAGCTGGCAAACAATGCATTCCAAGGGGGCTACAATTAGCCGCTCCCTTCTATGATAACGCCTCAAATCAGCTGAAATCTGGCAACAAYGTATTCGTCAAACGTCAAATTACTCGCTGTCGAGTGACAGTGAACTTGTSAGACTTSCTTATTTATTGGAGTTCATGACATCTATAACATTAAACAATATTTACACACGTTYCGATCTGTTTCCAAATCGTGATWATAATAAAATCTGGCAAAAGCTGATTAGAACGAAACAAAACAAATCAGAAACGCCAAAGTGACACCAATGTCAACAAACCAAGTGTCAAATTACTAGTTGACGTGTAGTTGGGATTTTAGCCGCCAGGGGGCGTCTGGACTTTTGAACTAGCGAATCGCGTGTCTCAGGCTACTTGCCAGTGACGTCATTATTTGCCGTATATACGTCATAAGGACTTTGCCGGCTGTATTTCTTTTTTTCGTGATTTTCACCATATTTAAACGGGAAAAACTGCAAACTACTGAAAGTACTGACCTGTGACGGGTGCCTCGATGTCGATCATAGTTTTTTCGGCGCGCAAGAGCTGAGCACCCTCGTTGATGATGCGCAATGCGGCCGTTTCATCGATGCGCCCTTCAAGCACAAAGTGCTGCTTAAGCGCTTCCGGTTTCGGTTTGGCGGTTTTTGCATCGAAAACTTCGGCCACTGTCAGCTTTTGACTCGGCGGAAACGGCACGGCTGCAACAAGAACAAAAAAACGATAATCACACAAACTGCGATAAAAAAAAATGAACATATGTGGTGCCTCCCGGCAACATCAATCAATTGTTTTTTTATTCATGCGAAGGCACAAGGAAAGATAATTGGAAGTTCACGTGTTTGTCCTCCATTCCCTCCACCAGGCTCTTAATCGATGATTGTTATTCGGAAAAAAACGTCGTGTTTTCACAACAATGGCCCTTTGATGTGACATAATCTGTGGGGGGCGAGCTCGAACCTGTTGAAACCGATCGATTTCACCCATAAAAAATGGTCAAAAAATGTTCCACTTTATTCAACAAACTAGAAAATATTGAAGACAATCGCACTGGTGTTTTGCGCTACGCAACACTTCAATGCGTGCATGAAAATCAGTTAAATTAGCCACCCTTTGGCCAGTTTAGCGGCAAAATAGCCACGCAAACGAGGAAAGTTTGAAACAATCATGAAGGGGCAGCATCAAAGTCGCCGATCGATCGCATTTTATATCATCCAACTTCGGAACTGAGTTTGTTTATTCCTTTTAGGAAGTCGCAGCAAGTTTTAAACGATTAATAACACGCCTTTGAACTCGGAATTGAGATAAGGGAAAAAGACAACTTTGCATAGAATTAAGTTAAATGAGTTTGGCTGGAAGTTCTTTGCAAAGGGATTAGTGGCATGGTGTTTTTTTGCCTTGCAATAATGAGACTTTGCAACTTTAGCTTAGCGGAATGATAAGTAAACAATCATTAAGAAACTCGAGTTGCTCATGATTTGACCGCCGATTAAGWCCMCACAAGTATAGGTTTGAGGGTGAATTATCGATTCMAATGGGTTTTTCAAATTCAAAACTAATKGGTTTTTCGGGTTTTTAGGCCGTCKTTCRGTAGAATTTCTTCATTCMTGACGTTTCGCAAGTTCTGCGGAAGAACTGAACGGGGGTTCTGAYGAGAACAGTGTAAGCGTTCAAGCAAACCACTTCTGAAGATGCAAGCCACTCGTGTTTGCGAAACGTCAGGAAGAAATTCTACCGAACGACGGCCTAAAAAACCCATTACTTTGAAGGAATGGCCTCGAAAGTCTATSTATTCCTTTTGATATCGATTCAAATGTTTATTTGTCTGGACTAGTGGAGTAGCRACGTCCCAACTGATCAACATACCTACATATTTCCATTTACATATTGCGCTCATTATTCATCCTACACGCTATTTATTTACCAATATGGAAAAATGGGATCATAAGGTGTTACTTGTTGATGCAATTTGTAAAAACACGGTTTTACTTTCAGCTTTATATGGCAACTTGGATCGCTTTCATATATGGCATTGATTCAGTTGTTTTGGACGGAGAGCGACCTAGACCAACCAAATATCTACTAAAAATCTTTTTTTCGCAAAAATCGATAGTTTCGGCACATTTCCAGCGGTTTTTCAATGTTCACAATCTTTAACCGGCGATTTTTTCCTTATTAATGACCCAAACATTTGATGAATGCACATTTCTGAGCTTCTTAGCGTCGCTCGTACTTATGTGAAATGTTGACTTTTGGGCGACAATTTTCTGAGGCTGAAAAAATACAAATTTTCTCAAAATCTCTTGAATTCCACATCATTTTCATACCAATGGACCGAACAATGCAACGAACTCCTTGTAAATGACGTCAGACGCTTCAGTTCCGAAAAAATCGATTTTTGGGCACATTTTAACCGTTGATTTGATTTGATAAATGCACTTTTGTAAGCTTATTTCGCTTAAAGGAATCGTGTCAGTTCCAAAAACACCAATGTAAAATTTTGATTTTTAAGGCGAAAATTTTCGAATCTAGAGGGGATTTTTTGAAAAAATACGCATTTTCCCATTGATTCAGTGAAACGTTGGTCAATTTTTGAAAAAAAAACACAATTTCCTCAAAAGCCCTGAATTCTACACCATTTTCAGATCAAAATAAGCGAGGAATGCAATGAACTCATCGAAAAACTTTTTAGGCGTTTCAATTCCAAAAAAACCGAGCTTTCGCACATGTTAAGCTTTTCTGAGCCCCCACGATCGATTGAGCCTGAGAGATTGAAAGCAACTGACAAAAAGGGATGGGGAAAATCAAACAAGAGCCGCCCAACATAATAAAATAGGCCCAAAGTTTCTTCATTCCACTTTCGACGCATTCAAGACCGAAAATCATTGTTTAATATTCAATGAAGGCAAATAACACTTAAAATAAACCTGCCTTATTGCCGGGCTTACGAAATAACGAACGAGTTAAGTCCCGCAAAGTATTTGCGTTTGGCTTTAAAACTCACAGAACGATAAGCCACTTAATATGAATTTGAGAAAGAGCCCATAGCGTCGGTTTAAGTAAAAATGCGGAAAATCTGTGGGTGTAGATTTCAAATTTATGGCCCCCTTAATTTGGGAATTTAACACGTTAAGTCTAGAAAAGTAGTTTTTGTCGTGAGTGAACCGAACTCACTTGAAACTGCCGCCATGACTATGAGTGTCTCAAATCCAAAAACACACATTAAATCCTACACTAAATTAAATTTATACACACGGTCGACAAAATGTCTATAAATAGGAGCCGCTTTTAAGCGCGTCGTTAAACAAATAAAAATTGTCACAATATGCAAATATTTACGTGTTTAGGAAAACGCTATTCCAAACGTCATATTTGTACAATGTTTATGCAATAATAACCGCATTGGTTCGAGGGCAGAATGAAAACATTTATTTATGTGATGTAACTGCAACAGAAAAATCGTAAATCTTAAGCGTAAAAACTGTAAAGCGCAATAAACCCATTTGGGAACCAAGAAAGGAACCACTAATAGAAATTATGAAAATATTCCAAATTATAAATGCATTCACTCCACTTTGACCCAAACAGATTTATTACTTTCATTCGTTTAACGAAAAAACACACAAATAATGCGTGACGGCTTCCATTATATCTAATTAACTCGAAAATGCCACAATGCATGCTGTTATTTAAATTTAGAATTATGCCAGGGTCAATTCTATTCCAGCTATCGACAATAGCCGTTCTTACCTTTCCAATTATTTTGTTATGGCCGTTTCCTGGAAATTTGTTGTGTTCGCAAAATAATTCGAAATCCTGAGCGCAAGTAGAGCAAGTTTGGTTCAGGCAAAAAAATTGAATACACCGGGAAATTATTCTTTTTAATCTTCCTGAAATTTTTCATCGAAATTCTGTTTAGGGGACTTAGAAATTAGACAACCTGGGATTGATTAATCAATTAGGTTGATGGTGATTGGCGCAGTGCTGCGCAAATGACTTGGTGCGCCAACCCAACGTACCGGCGCAGTTCCGGAACTCGGTTCCGTTGCCGGAAAAACGTTGTTGACATTATTTCACGGCCATTTATTAATAATATTTTTAAAGTTTCTTAAAAATTTCAGAATTTTCCAGTTTTAGTAGAGTTACTGTTTCTTCTAAACGCTCAATTTTCTAAAGTTTCACTTAAAAATACTGAAAATTTTATGGTATTTTCTGCAAAAAATTATATAATCAATTTTATTAGAACACTGGCCTCCTTCGGCAATTTGTAAAAAAGCTTCGAATTTAGGACAAAAATAAAATATATTTTTAAACAAACAACGAACAGAATAAGCGAACGTTTATGATAGATTATTTGGAAAACTCGTCACCCTCATTCCTCTGAAGACTGTAAAGTTTGTTAAAAAACTGTGGGTTTTTAGTTTTGACTGAATTTTTTTCTTGCCCTACTTTCTACTCAAAAACGCTCTATTTTGTAGAGTTTCACTTGAAAATACTGACAACCTGGAAGTCTTTTACACGAAAAATTCCAAAATACATTTGTAGCTTTGTAGGAATTTTATGAAAACTTTTTCAGTGTCGAATTCGGGACGACAATAAATTTATCCCGTTTTTTTCCCGAAAATCATTAAGGTTTTCTCAAAAACCGATTTCAAAACTAACAGTTTTTAAGCAGAAGCGCAAAAAATCGAAATTTCCTGATACTTTTCTAGTTTCCTGACAATAAAAGGGGTTTTTTTCAGTCAAAAATTACAAAATTTTGTTAGACAATTTGTCTCATTTATTGCTTTGCAGGGAATTTTAGAAAACCCGTTTCAGGTTCGCATTTGCCACGAAAACCAAATAATTTTAATTATTTTTTCACCCAAAGTAATTAAAATTGTCTTGAAAAAACGACCAGAGAGACGAGAGCAAACGTTTACAAAAAACTAATGGGAAAATTCGCCACCCTCATAGCGTTGAAGATTTTTAAAGTTTATTTAACATTTCAGGTCTCCAGTTTTAGCAAAGTTTTTTAAGCAATTTTTTCTACGCAAAAAACGCATTATTTTCTAGTTTTACTCAAAAATATTGACATTCTGCAGGCATTTTCTGTGAAAACTAAAATAAATTTTATCACTAAACACTCGCCTCCTTAACCGCGTTGTAAAAATGTGTCAAAAACCTTTTGCGGCCTCAAATTTTGGACAAAACCCTATTAGTTTTTCTGGGTTTTTCCAAAAATATTTCCCCGAACAGAACAAGCGAAAGTTAATAAACAATTATTTGGAAAACTCGCCACCTTCGTCGCTGTGAATAATTCATTTTTTTAAATACCGGTTTCTTCAAATTAATGTCAATATTTCTAAACAAAACTCTCTCTAATCAGAAAAAAGCGCTTTTTCCTAACGTTTTTCTTTAAAATATTGGCAAACTGAGTTTTTTATGCAAAAACAATGCGAGATCGATTGTACAACAAAACCCGTCTTTTTCGAATACTCGATTTACCTTTGAATTTGAGACAAAATCGATACAAAGTTGTCTCAAGACTCTCCACCTTCATCGCTCTGAAGAACTTTTAAGTTTCTTCAAAATTTCCAGTTTTCCCGTTTTTGATCAAATATTTTCAAACAATCGTTTCTACAGAAAAGGCCACTCGGCGAATTTTTAGCAGCTAGCGCTGTACAGCGCAAAAGGTCTGCTGCGCTAACCCAACGCACCCGCGCAGTAGCCCAGTTTCACTGCTGGTAAAACGTTACTCCTAAAAACTGTGATGACCTTTTTTTAGTTATTAAAATTCATCACTAAATGAGTGCTAACGCATTAACCGATGAGTTAAAACTCCTTAACTCAGACAGCGGCAACAACTCAAAAGCGCAACTCAACGCAGTGCCACAAAGGTCGCGCATCTGCTCTTGCCTTAAGGCACACAAGCGCTGAAGAAGGAAACAACATACAGACTACATGGTTTGGAGCAGGCAGGAAAAAATGTGGTAGCCTGAATCACATAATGAGCATGTTAGGCGCAGAAGCAAGCAATTTTGAAAAATCCCTTGCTGAGGCCCTGCGGGGATCCGAAACGCCGTGGGAATCGGTTGTTCCATATACAGTTGCGTTCGAAAGAATGCCCGGCGTTAATGATAGAAATAAAGTGAAGTCTATTTTTACTCATGCAACGGCCACAACAAGACTGCCCACGCATTGCTGAGGTTTCAATATTTTCAACACCTTCCTCTCCAAAAATAACGCAATAGTAAATATTCTTTGACCGTGGATGAAGTTACATGCACATATGGGATTGAGCTTGATTGAGCAGATAATTTTTGGAACAGGAACAGTCCAAAGAAAATCAATACTCCTGATGTCTTGCTTGACAAAATCTTCGGAAAATCATGCATCGGAAGTTGGTAAATGGGAAAACCGCAGAGAAAACGCTAATGAAGACACTGCGGTAATCGTAAGTGTAAAGTAATCGTAAAGATTATGCCAAAGTTTCATGTTTTTCGTCCCATTTTTGCTCATTTCTCGGCGGCAAAATGGGCAAGAACGCTCATTTGTACATCATTCTAGACAGAAATAAATGGCCTTTTTAGAAAGTGAACCATGGATGGGGAA